AGTTCCAACCAGCCTTCTGAGGGTGATAGTTCCAGCATCAGTTCAGTGTCCAAAATCATTGCAGCACTGTTTGGATCTGTCCCATGTGCGCCCCACCCACCCAGTAGCCAGTTTGGGACATCGTTGGCCATCTATCCCATAACACACTTCTCAAAGTGTGTGCTGTGCACGGTCAGCCCTGGGCATGCACTCCTCAGGGGTAAGCTCAGGAACTGCTAACTTTAACGGGTCACTTTCCCAAGGACCTCCCTCTCCAGGTCTCCCTGGAACTTTTCAGCCTGGCCTTTTCCGTCCTCTGGCTGCAAGGCTGGTGTTCTGCCCTACACCTGCTGTCATCGTGCTCACCTCCGGGGCCAAGTGGTGGGAAGACAGATGCAGATAAAAAGCAAAAGTGAACTTGCCACCTTCTTGGGACAATGGCTTCTCCACTAAGGCAGGAGGATTCCCTCCCACAGAGTTTTCACCCCAAAAAAATCCTGCTGCCACTGGTGCTTATGTGGGTTTGAGGTAGGCATAAGAAAACGGGGAAAAAAAGAAAGAGGAATAGGAAATTTCTCCCTCTCTCTCTGAGCATTTGCTGTTTTCTTCCCTACTCCTTGACTGGAGGAGGGTTTCTTTTAGAGACCTCTCTGGTCACCATGATGCCCACTTCTGGGTTGCGGATTTGATGAGTTTGGCCCAGGGCATCCTGGAGGGGGACAAATGGCAAAGTGCCGCTATTTCGGTGGGACTTTGGAGCCTGGTCTTCCTCCTCAGTGCTTCTGCTTACTGTTTACTTTTCAGAGCCCTCAAATGACTGACCCGTGCATCTGTCTGGGTTTTAAGCTGCGTTCAGTGAGAGAGATGGGGTGTGCTTACCCCATTTTAAGGCTGGCTCTGACTTTGGCATTTAACAAAGGACTCCGTCCACCCTCTCACCCCCATTCCCCAATCACTCACCCAGTTATGCTATTAATATGAATTGAATGCCTACTATGTACCAAAAACTATAAGGGCAAGAGAAACATTGCATCTTGAAGGTATTTAGAACACAATCCCATATGAGACACAACTTCCTAGACTTCACCTATATTTCACCTTCCTGGATTTCACAACTTACTGGCTTCCCACACCCCTCCCCTCCCCGTTTATGCTCACAGTAGATATAAGAAAAGCGAGTGGGTTTTGTGTTTTGCTGTTTCCTTGAGAAGGCAAGTACATATATAAGCCTGAAACCATCCTTACTTCCAAGCTCTGTGGGTGAGGCCGAGAACTTTGGAAAGAGTGATATTTTCAAACACACAGGTTTGTGGTTTTTGAAAGAACAGAAAGCATAAAAGCATAACATCTTGTAGGATTACTTTTGGCTGAAGACCAATTGATGTGACATCTGAAAATAATCAAATAAATGTCTTGTTTTGAGCCTGCAAATAGCTTTGTGAAACTTTGGGAGGAAATTCTCCACTTACGGAAAAAAAATTAGAAAAATTGAAATTGAGATCGTGGGGTAAGAACAAAGAAGGGGAATTCTGAGAGTGCTTTGAATTGTTAACAGCATTTATATTTGTAAAAATGAATCTCTCTAAAAAGGTGGAAGTGGCTAATAATCTTAAATCACCTCACATGGCACATGCCCCAAACCCTGATAACCTCCAAATTCAATTGCTTATAACCATTTTTGGAGCATTCCAAAAACTCGAAGTTGCTACACAATGCACGGAACTCTGGATTTAAAATTTCTGAAGCCCTTGATTCTTTTTTTCCTATAAGCTTTTTTTTTTGGAAAGAAGTCACAGTGTAGTCTAACCCCGGAAGATCAAAATATATGGAACTTTTTTTGTAAAGATGATAACAGCCAAGAAAGCAAAACTTGAAGTGAACACGATGATGAAGAGAGTAAAGAAAGGTAAAGACAATGCTGAAGGTGGCATTCATAAACGTCCCAGCGCCGAAGGGAGAGGCTGTGCTTGAAAAAGAAAAAGTCTGCTAGCCAAGGTAAGACAAACTAAGACGGGTTGGTGAGGATACTCTGAGGCACAGAAAATTCAATGTTATCAAAAACCTGAGCTCAAGTTAGGAGAGACTGCAGTAAAGAGAAACTTCCCTCTTGCTTCCGTGGTTAAAGGGTGACTTAGAGTTCCTGCACTATTTCATTAATATACAAGTCGAGTGTTGCTAATATCCAGTGGGGATGACAGACAGTTTTACTTTGTGAATTTCTGGTTTCTAATGATGCATTTGAGTTTTATTTTTTACAGCTGTCCTTGTCTTAATCCTTTACTTTTTTTCTCCCTGGGGTTTAATGGTTTCTAGTCACATATCAGCATTTTAAGCAGCATGTCACCCATCAGGCAGCGCATGGCTTCAGATGGTTATGGCATTTGGGTCACCACTAGTTCTCTGGAAGGACAAGCGCTCCTGTGAACAGCACAGCAAACTCCCTCGTATGATTGGAACACGGCAGCGCAGGTTCAGGACACACGCTAGAAATACAACCAAATGCCTTTTGCAAACAGCAGCTCAATGAGGATTCCTGCCACGAGGCAAAATGCTTGGAAAGTTACTATGCGCTGGCATCACTAGGTTTGGGGTCAGCATGCTGAAACCGGGACTCATTATGTTCCTACCATGCCAACTTGGTGCAATTAGCCTAACATGATAATTTCCTGAAGCCATATGTTGATCTTTAGGGGAGGGAAAGCTTCATACGCCTGATGGCTCTAAGCTCTGACTGGCATGTCCCAGCTTCCAGCAAATTTCTGTAAATCAGGATAACACATAGCAATCAGAGATGAGGTCGGATGGCCAGCCTGGCCAGAGAGAAAACTTAGAGCAGGGTTATGTACTTGTTGCAGAGTGGGGCTTTTTCTTTTCTTTCCAAGGAGGGTTTCAGAGAAAGGTCATAGGGGTAGCACTGTGTGTAATGCTGTTCCTCCCCACCCCGCCCCCGCCCAAATCAAATCAATAGAAGGACCTAGAACACAATAAGTTATGTTCCAGGGCTGCATGGCCTGTATTCCCATTGGAGACCTATCAATGTGAACTAGCACTGTTGGGAAATCTCCTCAGCTACCCCTGTTAATCAATACCTCTGTTCATTATACAGCTTTGATGAATATGGGTAATGATTGGGTGCCCAAGAGTCATGTGACTAAAAATAACTGCTCCTTACTGAGGATCAATAGATTTTTCCCCCAGTATTACTTCAGGCAGTTCAATATTCTCTGCTGCCCCTCCCCAAGCCCCCACCAGTGTGATCCTCTCTCGTCTTCATTGATAGATCAGCTCTGGCCTCAGAGCAGCTTTATTAAATTAGTAGCACTTAATCTACTGTCATAGTGTCAACTGACATGGGGCAAACTAGCAGGCAGCAAGCCTTCCAGTGGCTCAGGAGAGCAAGTTGCCACAACCCAGGCAGTTTTCATTAGCTTTGTGCCAAGAGCTGTCTTTTTTTTTGCCTCTTCACTAAACAGGAGTATTTCCATCATTTAATAGCATTTAAAACAACTTTTTTTGTTCCCAAGGAGGAGGAGGAGCTATTTGAGGGAGAATTCTTGCCAATTACAGACTTATTATGACAGATGAAAAGATCGTAATTATACTTGGATTCCCTGCAGAAGTGCCTTAACACATCCATGACATCTAATAACCACATGCCTCAATGGAGGCTGACTTTTCCAAAGTTGCTTAACCTTTCATTTCTTTGCCGTCACACCAAAACTCATCTATGGGTGCTCAGAGAAATCAAGGAGGGAGACTCCATCAAGGCTAGGTGGCTGACATCCCTGATGCTTTGGGAGAGACACTCAGTCAGTGATAGCTGAGCCTGGGTAGCTCCTTACTGGGGGTCTGAGGGGTACAGGCAGCCTGTCCAGAGGCCTGGGGCCAGGGCATCACTCTAGAGTCCAGGTAGCTTAGGTGCCTTCGTTAGAGGCCAGGGAAAACTGGACAGGTGGGTAAGACAAGCTGGGAAGATTTGAGCAGATATGGCCCTGCAGATGGAGAACAGAAAATACTAAATTGAAGGGGAGATTTCAGCAAAAGTTATAGTCTTGTTTAGTCTAATTTTTAACTTGGATTGGTTTAAGAAGTGGGGGTGATATTAAACACTGCTGAGTCAAAAGCATCTTTTTAAATAATTTCAACTTTTTTCTTAGATATAGGGTGTACATGTGCAGGTTTGTTAGATGGGTGTATTGTGTGACACTGAGGTTTGGGGTACGAATGGTCCCATCACCCAGGTGGTGAGCACAGCACCCAGTAGGCAGCCTTTCAGTCCTCGCGCCCCTCCTCCTCTCCTCAGTGTTTACTGTTCCCATCTTTACGCCTGAGTGTGCCCAAGGTTTAGCTCCCAAAACGCACCTTCTCTATGCTTCATCCCATAGTCCCCGTGCAGGACGACAGGAGGAGGAAATGTGGTTGATTATGATATCTTTCCATCTGCCAGTTTTATGTCTAGATTATAACAAGGACAATTTGTGGAAAGCTGCTGCCAAGAGACTATAAACTGAAAGACAAGCATTCAGTCTGAAAAAATATGAAGTCATTATCCTGGTGGCTGCTGTCCACCAATTTGAAAGGGTTGGGAAGAAAATTTATTTTTGAAAAGCTCAGGTGCAAAGACACCTAAGTTCTTCCTTTAGTCTTCTTTTCCTCAAAAGAGCAGGGGCAAAGGCTTTGGGAAAAGGACTTCTGGAAAGTCACAGAAAAGGCATGCCTGAAGGGATAGCTATGGGGAGCAAGACGGAGGGCAGTGTCTGCTGTGCTCCATTGGGAGTGGCCAGGACCTCTGCAGCTCTGACCCAGCTTCGCCATCTGAGCCAAAGATGAGCTTGGTCTTCCTGAGAAATCTATTAAATAATATAGTGGTTCAGTCCAAATAGGAGCTTGGCTCTGAGTTCACCAACAAGTGTGCTTAAATAAGGTGAATTACACTGTGAGCTTAAGGGCTGTTAGGTGTATTTTGCAAAGAGCTACTGGAGTGTGTGGAGGTTTCTTGAAATCAAAAAGGTAAGAAGAGATCAGTGACTGATAAATCTTTAATATAAAAATTGTACAAGAATTTTGATACAAATTACAAGAGGTATTTGGACAAAATATGAATAAAATTCCATTTACATCCCCAAACCCTTATGCATTTTATGCAAAAGACATACTGTAGGCAGTTATAGTACAGAAAATACAACCAAAGTAATAGCAAATTAAAAAATTTAATTACCTTAGACTACCAATAAAAACAAAAAGCAAAACAGAACCAAACAAAAATAAAACCCTTGTTCAAGGTACATACAGTATTTAGGAAGCTACCAACGTCACAATGATTAGATCAGGGTGATGCACACGGTCCCATCCCTTGGTGCAGTTACCGTTTGTAGTACAGACTTTGATTCTGTGGCAGGCTTATTGGAAGAGACTGGTTTTATGCAGATGAGAACAATAGAAACAAACAAAAAGGAATAAACAGCTAAACTCTGGGAGAGGGAGAGGACATATCTTGGTGAAAATTCCTTTTCTTCAAGATATTTCAATTCCCTTTGGCCACTTTTGCTGTCAAATATGCAGGCTGAGTCTAATACTTTTGTTACTGGAGACACACCAATGGGTCTGGAGCGAGTAAGAAAGGTATATGTTCTCCCAGCTGTGTGAGGGATCTTGCTAGTTCTAAAAGGCCTATTCCATCACCAGCAGGAGAGAACAGAGAACTTGCTTTCCCAGATCCCCAACCTGCCCCTTCTCCTTACCTTTGGGGAGACAGAAAAGCAGCAAGGACTTCATGGAAGAAGCCAGGCAGGGTGTGAGGGGAGTGGGGAAATGGGCATTTGCCTCACTTGGAAATCACGCACTAGTGTGTCAGTCATCCTCATACTGCTGAGTGGGCTACACACGAAAAGCCCAGGTCGTCTCAAGCCCAAGTCTTCTCCCCACTTCTCGACCGTCCTCACCCCTCCGACCTTCATGTACCCATGTTTAGCTCTCCTGCATTCTTTATACTGGCACTGGCAGGAAAATGGTAAGATTCTCTGCAGAGAAGCTGAACCAAAGTTTGCACAGGACAGCGAAAGCACCATATACTAGAAATCTTAGTCTCATCAGGTTAAGATATAACACTAGAACATCTCATTCACTTAATTCACGTTATGTAAACCCTGGACAGGGTAGAACACATATTTCCAAAGCGAAAGCGATTAAAACCAGGATGAGGAAGGCGTGTTCTACCTTCTTGTTCAAACACGATTTTTTTATTTTAAGGGGGTTGGTGAGATCCAAAGAGCAAAGGGTGGGATTGCGAAAGACAATGGAAAAGTCAGAGGAGATTAAGATACACAATGAGAGGGATGGATTACTCTGTACAAAAACATGCAAAAACACTCCAGATTGGCTACTAGATTAAAAAAATAAAAAGTCAGCCTTGGTTGATACATCTCAAGTGAACCTATTAACTCAGCACATTGTCTGGGAGTTCAAGAGCATCATACCTCATGAATCAATGCTTCTCACAGTGGCCACAGCACTGATTCACAGATGGGGTAGGGGATGCTTTGTCTCCTAGCATGGAAAAGGCAGGCAGTGAGGCTCCCACTGAAACAGTGCCGGGTCAGTTCACCTTGCAGGGACTGGAGCTTTCTCCCTTTTTTGAGAACCATATCCAGGGCCAGATGAATGGAGCTCTCTCACTCACCCAGGGTCTCCCCAGAGTCACCTCTCAATCCTTGCATTCCATGACAGAAGTGGGCAGAGCCAGTTAATAATTGATGGATTTGCCATCTTAGCTGTGCATTATCTCAACATCACATTTGGCAACAGGAAGCCTTATAAAATCTTGGTATAGCACTTAGATACTCTCTTTTCAAGAAATATACTTTTAATACTATCTATTTCTCTCCATTTTTCTTAAAATACTTCTTTCTGCTCTTCCTTCCCTTCAAAGATTCTTTTTTTAAAAAAGTGAAACAAAGCATTAAAAAAACGATTACAAATGTCCTTAAGCATCCCTGTTATTTTCGAGTTAAGGGGAGAAAGCTAATATCGGCGAGCAGAACTTGTGCAATTTTGGCAACTGGGTTTTCAATTAAGATTCTATTAAGATGTCCGATAAACGATTGTAATATATACATACTGAGGAACTTAAGTATCATGTCAACTAACTGCCTTTGCTCTAACCCAAGAGTACTTGCTCAAAGTGCTTTTCTTTCCAGTCCTCAGACTGGTTCATGAAATTATTTAGCGCAGATTTGTCAACATAGACCTGTTACATTGTCTATCTCTAAATCTGCTGCTTTTCTCTCCTTGCTAAAGTTCACATGGAAGATGATACCGATAGCTGATGTGTCTTACCTGGCTGACTAATATCTTATTGAAATGTGACTGTTTGTAATGGGGCCAACTATCTTCTCTGAGACGTGCTGTGGGAAGGTTGGAAGGAAGCATGGCATCCCCTAGTTCCAGAAAGAAGACGCTCGATAGATCTTGCACTTCATTTAGTCACTATCTAGTCACTTTCCAACCATCATTTGAGTATTTCAATATACAAAAATAGCAGCCAATCCTGACACATTGTTTGGGCTCAAGGCATTTTGGAATATAACATTTTCATGTATTCTTCCTTTGTACCTTTGGTCCCCATCACTTGGTTTTCTAAAGCTCCCTGTACTTCTACTTACCAAAGTTCTTCGAAGTGGAGAATTTACCTTTTACCCATAGGGTGGTCCTTGTTTTAATGATTAAAGTCAAAAGCCTGGTGCCATCTTTTTTAGATTGTCAGTCCAGTTGGACAAAATAAAAGTTAATCTATCATGTTACACTATGGATTTGGAGGGGTCACTGAAAGATACATTTGTACATCTAGATCCATGGTTTGATGCCAAGGACAAGGAAAAATAATTACCACTGTGTATAACCAGTTTACAACATGTACTTTTTGAAGGGGAAGAAAAATATTTGAATCTTTTCCCATCTTATTTATGCCACTGACTTGCAGGAAAATTTGCTCTAATTATAGGGCCACATCCATTACTCTCAAAATGGAACTGCAATACTTAAGTTTTCAAAGAAGCAAAGGATGCTGTCACAGACAGCGTCTCTCTACTGACCCTTTATTTAAGAAGTCATCTTGTTACTGTCCACTTAATAGCTGGAGAGGGCACCGAGAGGCAGCCTTGGGCTTCCCAAAGACACAGTAGGTGTGTGTATGTGCTTGTGTGTTAGGAGGGGAGTACAACAGGGAAGAAGAGAGGAGAGAGAGGGAGAGAGGGAGAGAGAGAGGGAGAGAAAGACTGACTGATTGTGGATGTGTGTGTACATCAGGGAACTCGATGGGAAAGCCTAGCCCTTGTAGTCAATTTCTCCTTCACAAGGGGATAAACAGGCAATTACGCATCCTTTTATATTTGATGGCCAAGTGCTGAACTGGAAAGCACACTATTAGTTTGTGTCCCTTCAGGGCCAGGGCAATAAGTAGCCAGGAGAGCTGGGCTGAAGCAGAGAGGGTGTTGTCTGCTGTTAGTGTGACAGTCTTGTCAGCAGCGTTCACATTACTGGAAGGTAATAAAGTGACAAGTACGTTATTAGAAAGATATGAGGTGAAATTGAACTGAAGCTTCTTGCTGCTCAGCCCTGGCTTTTTTCTTTCCTCTTTTGTAATGGTCCACTATTTGTTACAAACTGAGCCTTGTCTTCATACCCCATATAAAAAAGATTTTTTTTTTCCTGCAGTAAAGGTCAAATGAATTTACAACAACACTTTAGAGGAGAAGAATAAAGATAGTTTTATGACAACTATAGTATGCTGCTCCAAAAATATATATAGCATTATAATGAACAATAATGCTGATCCAATTCAGTGTACATGTAAAAATGCTTAGTTTTTTTTTAAACCTTCTGTTATTAAGCATTTGGATTTTTCAACAAATGCCAAAAAGACAGTATGTGACATACAGTTATTGCCGAATGACCACAGAAAATCATTTTGCGCAAGATGTGGGAAGGATGAGGATGATGAAACTACACAAGGAAGGACGGGTATGTGGGCAACAGTGATGAGAGATAACTCACTGGTCAGTTGTACAGCTGCATTTACATAGTACTGTTTGAAAATGACCATTTATGGTGAGCAACACTCTAGCCACAGGAAATATGCGACCGTCTGGGACAGATCAAACATGACCTTAGTACTAGCGCAAGCAAGACTACCACACGTGGTTTATCTCTGAGGGAAGATATGAAAAGAGAAGTTACTTGTTTATGTCATAGAACAGTAAATGAGCTCCCATTTTGACCAAGGTCTTTAGCCTAGTATTAATTACAATCATGGCTTTGTTGTGTTGCTACAGTGGCAAGCACGAGTGATGATCAAGAAAGGAATGATCCACGCTGGTGCCATTCGCACCTACTCCTCCATTAGGATGAAAGTGAGGTGTTACCACTGGCCTTTTCTATAGCCTCGCTGACCCCTGGCATCTTTCGGTTCTCAGGGGATTCCAGCAAGACTTCACACTCAAAAACAAAGCAAAAGCAACCAAAACCCCACAACTGTTGGCTCCTCCTGACCCCAAAGGAACTTCAGCTATTCCATGCAGCTGTTCTTGCTTTCCTAACCCCTTTCTCAGAGCCAACTCACCTGGTCATGGGAACTCTGCAGGTCACTAGCATCAATATGCTCTCACCCACTGCAAGGCAGAGCTATGCCAGTCGTTTCCCTCAAGCCAACACTTCCAGTGCATTCCTGATTTCCTTTTCTAGCTACCCCCAAACCAGGGCAGGAACCGACCCTCTACTTAGTTGTGATGGAAACACTGTGATCCCTCCAGTCTTTTTGGTATCTTTTATTTCCCATCTTAGATCCATCCCAAAAAAATAAATAATGAGAGGGAAAAGCAAAACCACCTAATTTAAATATTTCAAGTGTGGAAGAAGATAAGTGATTTTAAAGAATGAAATTCGTCTGTCATAATTTTAGAAAAGAAGCTCTTAAGAAAAGGGTGTGACCACAGGATGAAAGAAAGTTTCTTCTGGATGATTTATTTCTTGATGATAGCAGATGTAGCGTGTCTTATGACGGTTGAATTTTATTTACTGTGTTAGTCAATCTAACCCAATGCTAACAGACCAGATACAAGTTAGGACTGCTCAGGTCAAGCTGTCAGCAGTTAGCAGCATGTCCATCTCAATCTGGTGACTAGCTTCTTCATGTTTTGTCAACAGCCCTCATTCTCATTTGCTTGGCACACATCTGGGGTGTGTACAGAGAAAGGGGAAAAAAAGGTCACATTGTATGTAGTGGGAACCTAGTGCATAGTTTCTCCTGAGTAAAATGAGGGGAATGCCTCTGGAACAGCCCATTCTTGATATATTCAAAGATTTTTTTTTTTCTTCCTTAGAGCAATGTATACTAATGGGGCCGTTAACCAGGTAAATGCCTTTCTCCTCTTACTGAAAGGGCCTGAAAATTCGTGACCAAACAAGTAACACTATGAGGACAGTGGCACCATTGTGCCAAAAAGGTTTTAAAACATGTTTGCCATGTTGAAAAGGAAAACGTTAACACCTTTAAAACTTTAAAAGGCATCAGGCTGAACAGGGCAGCTGGACTAAGATTTGGAATGAGTTACACTGGGTTGACTTATTTAAATACAATTAATACCAGAACAAAGAATGCCAAGGATTTTTATCACACTTTTAAACCAGATTACTTATTATCTATCCTTTTTCTTTGTTTCCATAGCATGCAGATATTCCCGAAAGCGGACTAAACCTGATATTTACAAAAACATAGTTTTAAATGATCAAGACAGTAAGTTTCAACATCAGCTAGAGAACATGCACAGTCACAGCGCCTAATTTTGTACCTGTGATAAACTCTGGCTAAAACCAATCACATGGGAAAAAGCTTGTTGGATAAACATCTAAAAAAAAAATAATTTTCAGCCAGTGTAGAATGGATGTGGCTTGAGAGAAACTGTTTAACAACAAAAAAATGAAAAAATAAATGAGTAGGAATGGGCAAGATGAAGAGCTCAAAGACTAAAATGCTCATCTCTTTATCCTTCCTGTTTACAAATAAGCCGTGGGATCACCATCTTAACTAGAATTCTAGTTAAGTCAAAACACGACACGCAGGCACACACTCAAGAACAAGCAATACTTTGGGAACAGAAGAATTGTACATTTTATGATTTTCCATTGCATGTACTACATCCGTCCACTCCCCCATCCCTTTTAAGCAAATATGCTTTATATTGGAAAATGTTATTTACTCATTTAGAAGGCCACCGTAACGACTGGGCACTTGAGGCACAAAAGTAGTAGCAAATAGGGGAGATACTTAAAAAGTGTCAGCTGTCCAGGACTTATTGCCATTTCTCTGACAAAAAACAGGTGAACACATCCATGTTTCCAAGCAAGGGAAACTCTACTTCTAGAATCTCATTACTTCTGGACTTTTTCTAACTGGCTATACACATTAGCTTGGTTCGCAGCAAGTAACAAACATTTGTTCTAAGCCTGGTTCATTTGCTGATGTGACCTGCTGATAGCTATGTAATTCACTCACGAGGGCTATCTGACCTTTTATTTGACATTAAATTAAACAGACTAAACATTGCTGTTGTACAAGATAGGTTCTACTAACTCAACTGAATGTAACTTTTCAAAGTTGCTGAAATAAAAGTGTGTATTTATTTTCATAAAACTACATGTAATCTAAGCACACTGCAAAAGCCAGAGTTTCTATGTTTTGTTGGGATATTAAAAATATTTTCCCACCCTTTTGGAATCTAATCATTTGGTAATGGGGCAACAGCACAATACAGAGAACGCTGAGAGGACCAAAATGTTTGCAAACAAACTTTCATTATTCTAGTTCAATCTTTCACAAACATACTGTACAGAGTCTTATATGGTATAAAACAAAGGAAAACATCTCTGTCTATTCAGTTTAACACAACACCAAAATAAAGCAATTAAGACTTTGGGGAATTCAAAGGTTCAAGAAAACAAAAACGGTTATTACTAATTTCCTCAACTTTTTACCATAAACACTTGTCATTTAACATAGTGTTTAGATATAGTTTCTTTTGTACGGCAAATACTTTTGGTCTTTCCTCCCTGTAGAACAAATGAAGAATTAAAATGAACCCCATAGCATCCTCCAAAGGAGGTGAAAAGATAAAGCTCCTAGACATAGCTAGCCTATCTTTAAGAATCTATTGTTTCTGAAATTTTCACAAATAAAAATACTGAATCCCCAACTAATGATGCTTATTTTGGGAAACAATAAATACTGTGAGGTACAATAAATCCTACAGGAATAACAATAACAACAGAAACATATTAACAGTTTCCTTTGGCAAATTTAACGGAAGTGAATGCTGATGTGAACACAGAAAAAATAATTACAAAAACATGAAAAATGGAAACGACATAAAAGTTAAAACAAAGGAGTATTTCTAACTTTAGACTGATGAGAGAAATGTCTGAGGCCATTAAATGCAAAAAAGAAATACATTCTCTTTAAATTATTGTGTACTAAAAAAAAAAAAAAAAATTGTTTATCTCTTCCTTTCCTCTCCACTTAAAAAAAAAAAAGGAAAAAAAAAAAAAAAAAGACAACAAACCAGTCTGCAATGCACACCCTAATGGTTTTGGCTGCAGACTGAACTTGAGTAAATATCATCATTTAGTCAGTATGTTGTGGTAGCTGAGGCTGCCGATGTGGTTAACCAGCTCAGGCAACATGTGTAAACATCGGAAACAAAACAAAACAAAAAAGGTTTGGAGAATAGTCTCTCCCCTCTTTCTCACTCTCAATTGCTTGGTTTCAGGCTTGCTTTCATTTCTCTCTGACAAATCGTGTGGGGAAACACAAAACACTAAACATTGAGAGATCCTAGTTTAAAATCCCCTTCTTCTGGCTTTTCAGAAAGGAGTGTTGCTCAATTCAAGTTTAGCACATGTTTTCAAAGCTTCCAAGTACTGCTGCTGTTAAATGCCTTTTGATTTTGTCTACCAAACAGGCCTGAATTATAGTACGACTGCAGAATTTGCAACAAATTAGACAGCCATACAAGAGACCGACCCAGTTCAGAGGATTTCTTTTGAAGGGATAAGGGTTAGGGCCTTGGAAATGAGTGTTCAACTCTTTTACTGTATTCATCTTTGTTCCGTAGCGAGTAATTTGGGCTTTTGTATCCTGAAATATTATCCTGCCTCTGAAGAATAAATGCCTTGGCTGTTTCACACCACATAATTTTGTTTTCCTTTTATGTAACTTAACGTATAAGCAAGAAGGATGCAATGTTGATTCTAATAACATTCGGCACTTGAAAGAATCACCAAGTGTTTTTTTAAAAAGCGGTTTTCTGGTGGCCGACAAATTGGCCTGTGGTTATGTTGAGTGACTAATTGTATTTTCTTTTCTGGAAACTTGTGCAAAGTTGGCAGTTTTGTGTTAACACTAATACTTTGTTTGGCATTTGTGCCCTATACTGACCAGACCATTTTTATACAAGTGAATTTTTTTTTAAAAAAGACACTTACTGAAGTATGGCAATAGTTTAAGGATAAAAAAGAAGCATGGTTATTACACATCCCCTTGTAGTGTATGAAAAAAAGTGCATGACAGGATTTATGTACTAGTACAGGACATTTTAAAAAATCAGATCTGTGCTGTAAAGCATGCCAAAAAAAAATTACCACTATATCTAACAGGTAGTAAAAACAAGACCATGTTTTTTTTTTTTTAAAAAAAATGTGCATTAATGCTAACATAAATGAATAGAGCTAGCCAGCAAACTATTTTTTCCTGCATATCTAACAGCTGGATGTAACTGTAAAAATTAAACAAAAAAGTTAAACAACCATCAATACAATTGTTTTACATCAATGGCCCCTCAAGGCTAAATATTTACAGGTGAATCTGCCATGCTTTAATTGAAGATTCTTTCAAAACCTTAAAGTTCACAAAAGACAACTATAAGAAGTTCCTTTTTGTTTCTTTTTTCTTTTTTTTTTTCCCTTTTATTTTTGCAGGCAACAGTCATGGGTACAACAAATTGTCTCTGTGTGTGTGTGTGTGTATTATTCTGTCAAAACTGGGGCTAGTTGCACACTCTGTGTGTGTGTGTGTGTGTGTGTGTTTAAAGGGGTACTCTGTTTTCACCCTTAAATCAAAGATCCCACTCCTTTCCCAAAACTTTTATAAAGGGAAGTGAAAAAAATTCAAAAGCACCTAGTGTTTATCTTATTTATCTCAAGGAAATACGTGTGTGTGTATGTAGCCACAGAGCATACATTAATGCACACACACACACACACCCCAAGTACATAAGCGCACACTGACTATGGCAGTTCAAACACGTAGGCCATCTGGTGAGAGCTGGCATTTGTAGTGTCCATTCTGAGACTAATCTACTGAAGTGAAGGGAATGTTTTTGTGGAGATTAGGGTTCTGACTGTGCCGATTTCGGCTTCGTACAGAGGAAAACATCATATTGCAACCTGGGACTTTGCACTTGTGCATTTCTCGCAAATGCACGGTTTTGTAGTGCACTCTCAGGGTCCCCTTGTTGCTGTACATTTTGTGGCAAATGTTGCACATGATCCCACCATTGCTCCCAGACAAGCTGCTGAACATAAGAGATCCTGAAACTTCAGCCCCTAGGCTGCCAGGGAGGGCGGGGGCCTCGGCCTTGTGTGCCGACTCCCCACTGTCACTCGCCCCATCAATGTCATCGAGAAGAATCCCCTCGTCACTGCCTGCGTCGGATTCTCTGGAGGAATGGATGCTGCTGCTGGACTGGAGGCTGGAGGTGGTGCTCAAGTCAAGGACCATGTAGTCCTCTGCCATGCCTCTCCCATACCCGTTCAGGTGGGAGTCTTCAGTCCCTGCGGGAGAGGAGGCGTCTTCCCTGACATCGAGCCCCATGGGGTGCTGGGCACCATAGATCTTCACCAAAAATTCATCGCGGAGGTCCTTGCTAAGGGAGGGCTGCGATGAGTCCAGGCCCATGTCATCGAGTTCTTTGGTCAACAGTTTACGATGTAGGTTTATGTTGGCACTGTGTCTAGGAAAACAAGAGGGAAGGGGGGGGTAGGTGGATAGGGGTTGGGGAGGGGTGAGAAAAAGGAAAGCATTTTAAAATTGATTCAGCTTTCACTAGGTATCAAATAAGCACATTCACTGCTAATTACACCATTATAAAAGCAAGCATTCTCCTATATCCTCAGGATCTGGGAGTTTAGTGGTGGTGGTGGGAGGTGCAATCAGGGGAACTTTCCATTAACATAATTTTTATAAGAGAGGAAAATCTGTCAATGGTAGGATGAATGCAAACCCATGCACCTTTTTCTCAATGATTACTGTTAGTTTTACTATGTAGCAGCATCAGCTGCAGAGAATTTCATGGCAGAGATTTTATAATATATATTAAATAGGATAAAAGAATAGAAACTTTCTGCTTGTCTAAATGGAACAGTCTAAATTTAACTAAAAACAAGTTTTTTTAAATATCTTTTCTATACAGCACACACTGTATTTTGAGGTATAGGAAAAATTCATTTTTTTAAAAAGTAGTCTAGATAATTTAGATATAACTTCAAAAAACAATTTTTATCTACCCTCCACATTTCAAGCTTTAAGGAAAAACAATAGCTTAACAGATTAAGCAATTTGAAATAGGGTTACAGACTGTCTTTTAACAACACAAATGCCTTTTGTCAGAATGATTTGGTAATCCCAGTTAAATCTAATAATAAAATACATTTACTTTATAGAAGTATGTGCATTTTAGTGTCCAAAATATTTTCATCGAGTAATTCTACTTTAAAATTTAATTATTTAAGACAAAAACTGAAAAACAGAAAAAAAAAAAAAAAAAAAAATCCACCCACCTTTTTAAAAAAAGTCACACTCAACAACAGGAAAAAAAAAAAAAAAACCCCAGAGGTACAAAATTAAAACACAGTAAGTACAAAAAAAAAAAAAAAAATCAAGCACAACAATAACACAGGGTTCCTCTATTTTAACAACTGGAACCCATACTTCTTAGACAAGCAAAACTTTTATTCTACTCACTGACTGCTTTGCTTGTATATAGATATAGACAGGATTTGTCCCAGAGAATCCACAGGGACATCATGATTTACAAAGCCTGATATGTTATCATCTATCTGGAAACATTGTCTTTGTAATTATATCCCCCACTTATTTTTAAAGTGCCCTTGGGCATATACCTCTCTCCACCTGCAAAGGCTCACATGTTCAACAGTACCTAAATTGAAGGTTACCTTTCCAAAAAATAAACGAACGTATCTACAGATAAATAAAAGCTTCTCAATACTGGTGGAAGCTCTACAGCTTGGAGAAGTAATTGTGATAAGAGAAATGACCTAAATGGCTGATATAAAGTTCAACAGACCTCCCGATTATACTTAAAAGTATGGAAGACCAAAATGCGTCATTCCATTTGGTGGCAAACATGGTTGATATTTCCTAGAGATGGTTGAGAGGTATGTGCCTCAGAGACAAGAAAGGTGGGGAACACTTCTCCACCTTTCCACACAAGACAATATACAGCACTCTGGGTTTTAAGGGGCAGAGGGCAGCAGCCCTCTCCACCTGCACTTAGGAAGGCTGAGCTTACCTTGTGACAATAAGATCAGCTTTCTAATCTTTTGCTAAATCGATCACAAAAGAAAGCAAGAATAAGAGACAGAGAGAGAGAGAGAAAGAGAAAGAGAGAGAGAGAAAACAAATTCACATTCTAGACATCTGGTTTTGAAAAACGTAAACAATAAAATAGGGATTTAAAACGTTCTGATCACAAAATTATTTTCTGTCATAAGCGATCATCCCATACGTTGTCTTGATGATTTTCAGATCAGCTGTATAATCCAAAAATCATAAATCAAATTAAAATAAACCAAATTCACAGCATCATCATCATCCACAAATGAGTTTTAAACAGATGCATGCAGTGTGTGGGTATGTGAATGATAAACAGAAGTTGTCCCCACGGTCCCTGCTCTGACACAGTAATTCCCCGTTTCCTTGGTGTCAGATGGCAGGTGACTCCAAGTGCAGGTTGCTAAGCAAAGTGCAGGAAATGCCTACTGTGAGGTCTTTACTCTGACATGTGGGTACACCACCAGAGTTATTACAAGAATGTGGAAGTAGAGTTACGCTATGTGCTATTATTCTATTGATAAAACAATCTGCCAACTATATGCAGCTCACGAAATCCTATTCCTGTTTATTATTTTTAACACCCTCCCCCTTTCTTAATTTCACGAGCACACATTTTGCGATGACTGTAATCTAGAACTCTGTTGCTTCTCACACATCTGCAGTTACCACTTCCTAGGTTCACTGCTGAGAAAATAGCAGCCAGACACACAGCAGTTGCATCAAGACATACTGAATAAGGAAAAATAAATTAACATTGAGAAAAGGACACACTGATCACCCAGATGGACACATCTTCCCTAAGATGACTTGTGAAATTACACATCTCCACCAATATGTTACCAGGAAGAGATTTTCTCTTCATTTCTCACTTACAGCAGTAGAAATCTGTAATCTAATTAGACGATGTACCAGCCCTCAATATCTGTCAACCAAACGATGTGCAGAAATGTGTAGACCAGCTCTGGCACTCTGTTCAACAGTGTCCCTTTTCCGCTGTCAGCAGTACTGAAAAAAAAAGCTAATATAATTACATTGACTTTTATTCAATTAAGTGCCATCCCTCACTTTAAAAAAAAAGCTACTTTATCAATTGATTCAGGTGTAATGCAATAATAAAGATGAACTCATGGCAGTGCATTAGCTCTGCTCTTCATAACTTCAGTACATGGGTTCATTCATGGTAGTCGATTTCCATTATGCGACCACAGTTCACAAGAATTGATTCTTTTATGTTCAATTCTTAATCTATTTCATTTTTGTTTAATAATCCTACTAAATGCCATATGCAAAACACTTGAAGTGGAGATGGGAAGGATGGACTGAGGAAAGTCTGCTGTTCACTCTCATGATAGTGGGCTTGAAGATTTTCTCACAAACTCACACAGTATTCCTAAGGTGGAAGGAAGGAAAGCACGAGAAGGAAAACAGACTAAAATTCTTTAGAGGGTACTGATCCTGCCCAAGAGGTTAGGGTTCAGTCTCCACAGAATGGACAAAAGACAGCACTTGATTTTAACAAAGACCTATTGTTGGATTCTTGAATCAGTCAATCCAGACCATTAGCTGTCATAAAATACTGTCCTCATGAGATTCAAAGACCTAGGGTTAATAGCAATTTGAGGACTATTACAAGTTTATCAGGATCAGCAAAACTGAAGAGGTGAAAAGAAAGGGAAGATGGAATAGACACAGAAAGAACTCTCACCTACTGATAATCAGATGTAGAGAGAAGACCCTAAAATGGGAGGAAGGCCAGAGAGTGCTGGAAACCGGCGGGGGACTCCCTGGCAGAGGAAGCCATACTCAGTTGTATGCAACAATTGGAACAAAGAATCCAACAAGGAACCAATTTTGAGTTCTCCAGTGATAGAGATGGTTTTTCTACAAACAGATTTAGTGTTCTGAATATTTATCTCTAGGAAAGAGGGAAGAATTATCATTAACAAAAATCTAGACTGTATCAGAACATCTTATATTCTATAAGAACATGAACAGCAGAAAGGTTTCTACTTGTTTTGATTTGGAAGGCAAGAAAGAAACATGAGTTCACAGGTAGAAGGGATAAGGATTTCGTCTTAGGAAGTGCAGTGGCAATCATTAAGGCAGTGGTCCAAACCTTAGCCCCAGATGTTCACTTTCAAGAACATAACTAAATCTTATTCAATATTATATGTCCTGCACATGAAGTAGAATACTCTGTACAGAGGAGGTACTTAAAAGTACATTGGTTTCCCTTCCATCAATAATATGCATGAGTCTTCAGGAAGTATTTCCCAAAATACACTGTAGAAGGGAAGAAAACAATGATCCCAAGGTAGGACTCATGTAACAGAATATCCAAGGAAAGGTGGTGGCGACACTACAAATGGTGATTCTGACGCTATTAATACCCTAGTGTGTTATAAGGGAATGCCACAAAATTAGGGCATGAAAAAGCCCTGTAACTTGGGCTATGCTTGGAATTACAAATGCTTCCTTTAAACCTCTGTACTCTTTCTATACTGTGAATTTACCAAAAGCTTCTTAAAGACCAAGATCACCTTTAAAAGCAAAAAGTTATAAAACCTTGGACTGAGGGGAGGGTGCTGCAGAACCAAACTTCTTTCTTCTTTGAAATGCTGAGTGGAAGTACTCTAACTGGACTAAAGTGGACTACCAGTCTTTTTCTGTTCCTTTGATGGAAACTTTACCATGCAACCACAGAAGACATGAAATTCACCAAATGTAGTCAAGTAAGTGCAAATGTCCTTCAGAAAGAAAGCAAGTCTTGCCTTGGATTTCTCTTTTCTCATCACATTAAGTTAGATTTAATGTGATGTCTGGTCCATAAAAATTAAAACTAAAAACAAAAACACTATCTAAAGAAAGTGTTTTGAGGTTTTAAACTTGACTTTAAGATACAGGGAAGACACGAAAAAGAAAACAAAAAACAAAAAACAAGTTGCATCACCAAATTAGAAAATAAGACTGGCAGTCAGAGACTGAATAATGAATCAAGCTATAGGCTGCACAAAGTGTCTTAATTCTTAATCAGATTTGAACTAGTCTAAACTTACTGAATTGAAACAAAATACTTGATAATTAATTAGAATGCCTCAAGTGAAAAATAATTGAGGCCCCACTTTGGATTAGTTTTTGCCTTTATTTTCCAGCTCAACTCTGCTGTTCAACACACACACATTCCCCAATTCTCAAATGATATTGTACAGAATGATCATAATAACATATACATAGCAGATACCATATGCATGCCTATTTGTTTGTATGTATGTGTCTACATACATGTATATGGGGAGGGGGGAGAGAGAGAGATAAATTTATATCCAATCTGGGTAAGTCTAGATGCTAGGGTTAAGTATATTTTGGGACTACTGAGTC